GAAACCTGAAGAATTGTTTGCGTTTCGTTGCCGCCTTTATGTTTTTAAATTACCTTTGAACAAGTGTCGAGAGCGTTGTCCCTAACAACCCAGTAAAAGTATGGTTGTTTGCCCCTCATCTCTAGGCGGCTTTATTTTTGTATATCATTAGTGGGCTTAGGAAACTTCCTTTTGGGGGGATTTTCAAGTGCGGACATCTCGAAAACCCGCTTGGAAAAACTGCCCTCTCATTCAATCTAGACCAGTGGCTGTTCAAACTCTGGGAAGAAGTTTAGGAAAATTTACGAATTCCTAATGATGCGCAATTTTAATTATATGCCCCAAAAACAGGCGTACATATGTGCACTGCGGGAGATATTTAAATCACATCCACATTTTTTAAGAAATACTAGTCATCAAAATTGTTTAATAATAAATAGAGAAGGTTTCCATATATTTTAGAAATTGATAGCAGTAACAAAATGTATTCTAATAATACCGCTACATTTAAAAAATAAAATATCATGTTTTATTAATGCTTCATTTTTAGGAATAACAATTATTTATGTGTAAATATCACATATACTTATATCAGCAATACCTGCAAGTAATTTAATAATGTCTGATGAAGTAAAGTTTATAGTGTATAATACATTTAGGAATAGATAAATTTACATAATTGGAGTTTCGATTTTAGTTGTAGAGACCTAAAATATGTGCTGTTGCTTTAAGCTTTATTTAAGCTGGTTTTAAGTCGGTTTTTTCCCCTGTGCATGTACGTTCATTATATTATCTGCTCATGCCGCTCTAGACCTTTTTGATGTCAATCACTCAGGCGCTTAAGGAGCTGTCATGCCCGACTACTCCCAATAGGACACCGCCGCCTTCGGTGGTTCGGTGGTGCGTTGGTTGCGCCTTTGGCGGCGCCAAAAGAATTTAAATTAGCCAAGGCAACTGCCAGTGGGTGCAATAGACGTGGCTAAAAAGTTATCCACTTGCGCTGGTCTGACTTTCCTAATGAATCATGAATTTCTCAACACCATTTTTGCTTTTTCTTCCTTTTTTTTTGGCGCGCACCACTTGGCTTTGTTTTGCTTTTGGTGTAATAAGCGTGAAACTTTTTGGTAGCCCCGAAAAATTTAGCTTTGCCTTTCTGCTCTGCTCTGCATTTCAACCAATTAGTTGGTTTGTTTGGCTTGCTTTTTTGTTTTGCCTTAAAAATACAAGCAAATCCAAAAAAACGACGGTGCTGATTGACAGTCTCAGTCTCGAAATCGTTGCCAAGCGACGAGGGAGCGATTGCCGAAAGAGACTCCAACTTGGCCGGAATCTGTCAAGGCGTGACTAATACCTGATCTCTTTCGGGGACTACACTGGGAAAAAAAATATTAACTGTCTCCGAAAATAAAAGGGGTTTTAAGTACAGGATGTTTGAAGCAACACAGCTTAAATCTACATATACCTATATTAGATTGTAAAGGAATACCAAACACCTATTTTAATTGCATTTTTATTTCTCTGTGCACTTTTGTTTCACTTTCTCATTTCTTCAGCTCTTTTTTTGCCTTTTTTAAATTGGGCAAAGTTTTTTCCGTCAGCAATTGAAGGACTTGTCCAAGAACACGCCCCACACACTCACACACGCCCCCTCAATTGTCGTCCTGAAGTTTTCCTGTCGCATTTGACGTGCGTTTTATGTGTTCGTAGGTGTAAGCGTTGCCGAATGACAACTTCTTACAACTTTGAGCAGGTATTTTTCAGGTGGTGGAGCTTCCGCCAAATTGAATAGTAGTTTTTCACGCCATCCGAGTGGCTGCCTTTTATCTTTGTTTTGCCTTTTGGCTAGCAACTCAATATCTGGTTGAACTTTGTCAAAACCACTATAGATATTTTCTAACAACACGGGAATAGTAAAATCGAAGAGCTAAGCTTTATAACAAGATTTTAGATATTTCCGTTCGAATGATTATATCAACATGTTTTTATCAGAGAATTTGTTTTGTTATACTCTTAGCTGCGTGGTATTTGCTTCCATAGTTACAGCCTTTTAGCATTCTATTGTTGAACTTGTGGAGGAAATTTGTATTTTTCCTTGAAGATGACATCCATAGAAGTTTTAGGCCTAATCAATCATATTTAAAGCAAAATTGTTTGCCTAAATTGAGTTTTTTTCGGTATTAAGCCACACCTGCCACCTTCAATTATGGCCAAATCAGTGGCACGAGTTGGCAAAGTGGAAGCCACCCAGACAATGGCCAAGTGATTTGCTTAACTGGGCGGATCCTTCACACTTCAACGCATCGCCGGCAAGTGGATTAGGCCTGTTAATGATGGGGATTCATTCTGATTTGGCGCTTCGAACGCCGAACTTCGAACCAAGGAGCCAATGTTTTTATGAGTTCCTCCCGTCAAGAAGGTGACAGTTTTTGTCAAAATCGACATTACGTATGCGGAAATCGTTCGCGAACATGTTGGCTGACAAGCGATACGAATATATTGCCGTTTGCCTTTTTGTCCTGGCCAACATTTTTGCCGTGTGCTGCTGGTACAACGGGGCGTATGATTTTTATAAATGCCTTGTCGTTGTCGCAACAGGAAAACCAACTCACAAAAGGCAACCGAAATTTGCTCTTTTCTTTGCCGGCCCGTGAGTGTGTTTGAAATATATCCAGGGAGCTTAAGTAGTCGAGGGTAAAATACTAGTGTTTTAAATTAAGAAGAGGGATTAGAACAACTATCAAGCGAAGTAAAATGTTCAAAAAAATATAATTTAGTTTCCAAAAAAGATTAACCAGTAAACTCTAAAAAACATAATAATATAGTAAATATTTAATAGCAATATTTGCTTGACCACCATTGTAGATATACATATATAGAGCTGACTTGCTGTGGCGCTTTTTGTCGTTTCCAAAATCAATCCGGGCCATGTATGAATGAATTTTGCACGGATACGGCTTCTATTTTTTGCCATCGAGCTTCGCCCTCTGCCCCCAAGGAATTTCGGCAGCTCCCCAATCAATTGACTTTTGTGTGGGTGAGTTTGGCGTTTTGTCATGCTGCTTATTATAAAAAATACCAGGAAAACTGATTTGTCAAGGCCATAAAAATATTTGCTCGCATACAACATTAAATGAGCATTTTTGCTTTATTGCACGTGTGTGTATATAGTTTCCATTGGGTGATCAGGCAAATACTTTATAAGTAGGGGGAAATAATATTATATGAGAGGTCTGAGGGTTTGTGCCAACTTTGGTGACTTGTCAGATTTGGGGATGTCTGCAATGGAATGCTGTCGATTAAGTTGATTATCACCATGAAGGGGCAAAGTTTATCCGAGTGTCAGGAAATGGGAGTGGATTATAAGACTGCTAACTATTGGATAAGGAAAAAGAGCAGGGAATGAAATGCCGAGCTGATTGTTCATATTTGCCAACTATTTGCGATTTGCATTTTCAATCAAAGTGTCGATGATGGAAGAAAACAATATCGATATCAAGAAACGACAATGGTGATTTTGATGCTTCGAACGTGGCAAGGTTTCTACACTTGAAAATATTATAACATTACTTTTATGTATTACTAAATCGATTTGTATGTATTCTTTCCAGAACTTTAAATACATTTGTAGGTAATTAAAGAAATACTTCTTAATTTTTAAGAAATATGAGTTTTAGATAGACTTTGTTAGATGGAAAATGTCCCATTTAACAAAATATCTTTCTAGCTATTTCAATTTCTCAAAAATGTGATATAAAGTCTGATTTTATAATCCTGCTTCACCTGTGACCATCTCAAAAACACTTTTTGTTATCATTTCCTTAACAGGAAAAACAGCATATTCTGAGACACCTCTTCCATGTTGATATTTATCAAAGTGCAATCGCAAAAACTGGATGGCAGTGTGCTAAGGAAGAGCTTCAAGTTATGTTTGTTTGCAGAGAGCTGGAGAAAACTCTTCAAGCACGAATGCCCCACAGTCACACGTTCAAGATGCCGAGAGAGAGCTGGAGAATTTTCACTCGGCACCTGTCTGCAGGTGGGATGTGCCCCTGTTCTGTTGTCATATTTTCATCACACTTCAGGTGTGAAATAAACACACATGTGTGTGCATACAGCAGAGTTCCATGAAGCTGAAGCAGAAACTTCGTGCAGTCCGTAATATTTGCTCACAATCATTTCCCTTTCTTTTTTTTTTTGCTCTGGGACAACAGCTTAATTTCGCAGTGGCCCGGAAAAACTTTAACATCAGTGGTGGGTTTAATTCTTGGTCTATTCTATCGTTTACTTTGAGCCAATGGAAATTAGTTCGGGCTGCTATGTGCTTTGCATAACTAATGATTGGTTCGCTTAAAGACTGAGCTAATATAAATGGAGAAATAATAAACTCTTTATTATTAAGCCATCGCTTAGTAGCTAGCTATAATATATATTTATATATATATATTTAATTAAAAAGTTGTGGGCCAAAACCAAAGGAAGGCAAATATTTGCATGGAGTTGTGTGTGTGTGTAATTCTGGCAAACATTGCGTAAACACAATCAGCCACTTACACACACACACACTCGAACCCTCATCCAGACATAATATCCGATTTCAATTGGAAGGAAAACCTATTAGAAATTATTTCCCTTCACTAAATATTTGCTCGATTGTGTGCGCATCGCATCTTTGTTATTGTTGTTAATGCCATTGTATTCAATGAAATGCCCCCAGAACCCCCGAAAAACATTTCCCATAATAATTGTCAGTCTGCTGCCCTCACAATCACACAATCCCTTTATTTGGTTAGATTTTAAGCCTTGAATTTTCGTGTTGGGTCAGCGTGTTTGTGTGGGCCTTCCTATCCATGTGAGTGTGTGTGTGTGTGTGTGTTTGGCACACATGGCGTATGCGTATTGTTGATTTAGTTGATTGGCTTAAAGGCGTGACCTAACCAATGCTGGCCTGCAATAATTGTCCGGATTCCTGATATTTGCCCCAGTTGCCCCGGCTCCCCTTCAATTAGCCCCGGCTCTCTTACCTTTTTGGCCTGCAACCTTGGGAGTTCTTCAATATCCGACACCTGAAATAAGAGGAAATTCACTGATGAGTTCTCAACGCAAAATTACATGTTCCGTTTAATCAAGTGGCTTGCATTAGACATTGTTTGCTCGGCTCGCATTCCGGCCTGCCATCGCAATTAATAATCAAATCCAGGTGAGGTATTTTCTAAAACTACATTTTCTCTCTTCGGTATGCTTCAATTAATATAACTTTGTAGTTGGGTTTCGGGTTTACGTTGCGTTGCGGTAGAATATCGAATTCCCGCCTCAGAATTTCTAGCTCAAAATGTGTGCGTTTTCCTTGGATGGGTTTTTTTCGCCAGCAAAATGCAGCTGGAATTTCGCTTTTTTTTTTGAAGGGTTTGCTTTGTTTCGAACCTTTTTTTTGTTTAGGGTGCCCGGTTGTTTATGAAGTGTCCAAAAGTGTGCGCTGGCCTGGCTGCATGTTTGTTTGCCTTTCATGTTAATGGACTTTACGCGCACATGGACACTGGCAGGCAAAAGCAGCAGGAGCATCAGAGAGTTTTCCTGAACAGCGGTTCCCTTTTTTCTATTCAGCAGCTAACTTTTGGTGGATGGCATAGAGACATAGGTATACAATATATGTGCAGAGGAAAAAATATTACAAGCTACCATAATACAAAAAAGAATTTTTAAGTCCGGCAAACTGCAAAAATTATACATCTTGAGCTCAAGAAAATGGTGTTATATGAGAAAATTGTTTGGTTTTGAATTAATATTACTTATATTCACCAAAAAATATAATTATTTTCAACAAATACTTGTTTAATAATCTATAATATTGACTTTAACATTTTTTTTAACCATCATAGGATATATTAAATTTTTTTCCAGTGCACATATATGGGTGGCACAATATATGCATTGAGTCTGCCATGTTCGCCCAGCTGTTGCCGTTTGAATTTTCCGGAAAACTAACAGCGTTTGGTTTTTATCGATGGTTTATCGTTTAAAGTTTTCCATCAGCATAAATTCTGAACCGTTCACAGCGAGGCCTCGAGCAATTTTTCATTAGTTTCTGACGTGACAATGTTGCGTATACTTAATATTTATCTAAGTTTCTTACGACAATCGTAAATAACCGCAGAGACACAAGACACCCATATTCATGCGTGCAACATGCTGTTCGACAATTATTTGTGTTGCTGCAACACGCCAAATAAAGGTTTTATTTTTTCTTTGGTTTGGGGTGCTACGAACTGAGACACAAGTCAACATAAAAATGAAATACAAGGCAATAATATTTGCTCAACATGTGTGCGTTCTAGGGGTTGTTTCTGGGCCACCCCCTATTTGTCTTGTTCGTGCGCGCATAAGTAGGCAACGATATCCGTTGGGGAAATTAATAAACTTTTTGCACCTTTCTCTGCGTCAAACTGTTTCTATTTACCCCATTCCCCTGCGCTATTTTTTCAATAAAATACCCTTCAAACTGCATCTCATTATGTTGGTATTATTAAAATTCTTTGCCCTACAACAGCAGATGTTTCTCCTTCGGTTTTAATGGGGCAGCGAAACTTTCCGTCAAAACTGGAATAATAAAGCTTTCATATGCACATGCGTATGTGGAAAATACAAACATTGGAGCCAACTATAGGTTTTGGATCGCCATCCATCTGGCGAAATAATGAAATTTCTTTAATGCTCTGCTGGCACACATTTAGCCAGGGGGTCAATGCTGGTAAACATTCTGCAGCACTGCATTCGGTACTTAAAAAAATGCGATAAACTTCGAAACTAGTTTGGTGTTTTATCCCTGAAAACAAAATTAATCATGGGATTAATGGGATCAATTTAATCAATTTTTTTATACATTTGTTCCTTTAAAAAATCCATATGTTTTCTACTCTAAGAGGCAATATTTACCAACATTTTTTTAAATTTTTAAAATATTTTATTATCGTATTTTTCTACGTGTAAGTGCGCTGCAGTTTTGGGCACAATTTTTAATTAAAACGCACCAAATCGAGCTTATTAAAAAGTTGCACTGACCGGCCAAAGGTGATGACCTCGGTTCTCGGCTGAGCCCGGGAATTAAATTGCCGACCGATGCGTGGGCGAAAGTTTACCAACTCGACCCGCTGATGCGTTGTCATAATGTCAAATGGATCGAAGTCCAAACGGGGCCGTGCAAACACACGGTCGTAGTAGGATATAATAACGGTTATCCGGCAAACAGCGTGACAACTGTGTGCCATATCGTTCCCCCAACCCAAACCATACCATCCCATACCAAACCATCCCATCCCAAACCAAACCAACCCATCCAAACCCTGCGGCTGAATGGGCCACACATATTGCCATTTTCAGCGAGCTATGCAATTCGACGGCCTTGTTGACATTGTCCGGCAACTGTCATCGGCTATCGGGAGAAAATATTAACAAATACTCCCTATTTTTGGGCCAACAACAGTGCATCCCCTGGCTTATGGCGGTTGGCACTATTGTGTATGGATATGAAGGACATTTTTTCTGGCCCTGAGAGTGAGTACATAGAGAAAAATTGACAACCATGCTGTTAATTAAAGCTGTCTCATCAGAAATATACCTGAGAAAATAGTAAATAACCTGAAAAATCTGTCAGGAAATTTCTTTTCTTCACATGCAATTAAACCGGAATATTCTTAAAAATGGAACTTCAATTAATTTAGGCAGTCATGGAAAAATGTTTTTATCCTACGATTTCAATGTTCGCTTTAAGTGAATTTTACTAACTCCCTTACGAATCAGAAACAAACAATTAAATCTGGTTCTGTGGCTTTCTGCTTACTCATGCAGGCGGCTTTTCCATAAATAATAACGATCGCCATCCCTTCCATTTGCTATTTGAATTTTGCTAGATTTTATAAAGTGCAATTGGGTAAAATAAACTTGAAATGTGTATATTTGTCTGCCATGCATATATATCGGCACATATCTGCCTTTGGGTTATTTTATATTTTCCATTAACGTTACATACGGCATGGGGACAACAAAAAATCCTTGTGCCATCAGTTTTATATATTTTTATGTTGGATTATTTTTCGTTGGTTAAATTAGTTTTCATAATCGGCAAACAGAAATCAGAAGGGAGAAAGAAGCAAGTCGATGTGGGGAAATAATTTCCATTCGAAGTCACTGGCTTTCTCAGATGAAATTAAGTAATCCAATCGAGTGTTTTATTGCTCTGGCAAAATGTTTATCATGACCGCCTTTTCCGACTGTCTTTGCAATTTACAGACAATTTGATTGGACTTTCCTAGCATTTCGTTGTATTTTATTTCACGTTTTGACAAATAACAAATTATTTATTTTGAAGACAATTATCCAATCTGTGTAGTTTAAAGTAATTTTATGTGGATCCCTGGCGGAATGCAAGGCCACCGAAGCAAAACCAGAGTCATAACCGAAACCATCGTTTAAAGAATATATATTTTTGGGTGTAGGAAAGCGCAGCGGAAGCGTCAAAATGAACGGAAATTGGCTTAAAAATGACAACACAAATGCAACAATGGCGGCCAAAAACAATGGCAGTCAAGTGGTGTAGCCAAAAATCGTACACGATAGCTGCTCTTTTTGAAGCCCTTGTACGATTCAGTCAGTCATATACATATCTACAAACAAAACTATATATATATAGAAGCAATATCTATTCATGCGAAGTTTGGTTTTTCGATTTTCATTCGGTTTTCATGGAGTTTTGAGCAACGTTTTTGCATTTATAATTTTTAGTTGCATTGTTTCTCTTGCACACACACAATTTCCTATTAAATATGGCTGCATTTTTACGTCTCGTTGATTATTTTCGCGGTTGGTTTTGTTTTGCATTTATTTGTTGCTATTTTTTTTTTTGTGCATTTATTTGGCAGTATGTTGTTGTTTTGGGGCCATTTTCCGCTTTGGCTTTTTAGTTGCGCTTTTGGTCGGCCCCGTGTGGTCGGTTTTTGCTGCTCTTCTGGCCAGGCTGGGCATTAACTTTTGCACGTTACAAGCTTAACATTGATTCTGCGGATACGCCGGGCAGGGTACCATTTTCGGAGGCTTCCGCCTGCTTTCCCGATTTCCCCGTTTTTCCCGGTTTTTCCACGGCAGATCTGTTGTGTGTACGCCGTGAGCCATGTGTCCTGCTCTTCCGGAGGGCATCATTTGCACAAGAATTGCAAAAATGTTCGCCGTCCGGCCGCCTGACATTTGCAAAAAGTTAGTTGCCGTTTTGGCCGCTTCCACATTGGGCTTTAAAAAGTTATAAAAATGCTTTTGCTAACTAACTGAATTATTTTCTTTAGTTCAAGGTAATTTATTTTATTTATTTACTAATATTCAGTCAAATAAATATTTTATTTTGGATAACTAACTCAATTATTTGCTATAACTTTAAGGCCACATAAGCTAAAATGGATTTAACTATTTTTTGTATAAATGCAAAGAATTTATATTTAGAGGTGTGATATTTAAATGAATAAATGCTGGAGTTTTTTACTGAAGAGAGCACAGGTTTTGGAAAAATCTATTGTCATGATTCGATTTAGCAAAACAAAGCTCCATGCACATACTGCGCATACGTGATATTTGAATGGGCTTAGTGATTTCAATACACTGAGCTTAGTTTGTTTTAAAATTCCTAAGCTCTGGCAGGGAAATTGAATTAACAAAGCGTTCGGCTTCAATGTGACCAAACAAATCCCTGAGAAATATGCTTGACTTTGCTCGGCTCATTTGATGTTGGCACTTGCCGGGAATATCCTTACCGGATATGAAAGGAGTCTGGGTGGGGGATTTTCGATCCTCTTCGACTGCCCTCGTACGTTTTTCAATAGCAAACACAATCCCGGCAGTTTCAATTGCCAGAAAAGCTGCAGCTGCTCCGCACGCAGACACACAAGCACATATGGATGCGCTCGGTTCCGTTTCCGGTTCTAAATATAGTTATTTCTGCACTGCTGGCAGCCATGGCAACTCTTTCAAGCACTTGAGCAGCATCAGCCACCTGACTGACTGCCTGTCCGTCCGTCCGCCCGACCTGTCCTCCTGCATTCCGGCGTTCAGACCACCCGGAGCCATTTCCCAGTCCTGGCAACAACTGTTTGCTTACCCACGGAACTTGTCGGCACGGAAAGAAATAGTATGTAAATCAGGTTCTTTCCTATACTTACAGATTAAAACTATCGAAATATCAATTAACTTAACAAACGGAATTAGAATTCTAAACTACTTGGAAATATTTATACAAGCATTTCTTGTAAAGGTGCCTAAAAGATCACTATGTTTTTGAAGTTACATTCAAAGGAGTGTAAAAGTAAAAGTAAAAGTCTTACATCAATACTGAATATAAAAGCTTATGTTTTTTAGGCGTTGGTACAGAAATAACTGGTCATGGTGCCTAAAAGTATGCAACGAAAAACATAACGTCGCATATTTGTATGAATTCATCGGATACCAAATAAAAAAGTTTTTGCATACCTTTAGACACCTTTATCGATGATTTTAAAATCCTTAAAAAATATTCAAATATTTTTCTGAATGTATTTTATTCAACACCGCTCCCCTCGCTTTATCTCTTTCTCACTGCACTGTGTGTATTTTTGTATGCAAATAAGCAAAATATTTTAACAGCAATGTTTTTTGCGCTGTCGTCTGGGCCGCTGTTTGCCAATGACTTGTTGATTTTACAACTTTTCCAATTGAATGAACTTGGAAGGAGTGGAAAGGAAAACTCATGTTTGTGCCAGGGACGAAAAGTGATTTTCACTTGCTGTCACATCTTTTTTGAATTATTGATGAAAATGCATCAGTTTAAAATGAAAAACTGTTTGCCGTATTTGCTCGGCACACACATATAATCCAAATGCAACTCCAGTTGCGAAGGAGTAATAAAAACATATTGCATTTTTGAGAAACTTCCATCACTTCAAAGTGCAGCACGTAAAACTCCGTGGAATTTCGCCAGATTTTCTAAGTGGATTTGCAAACGAAATATAAATATCCAGATTGGCGACATCGTGCCCTTATTTTTCTTCATTGTTGTGCCGAGGTTTTAACCACAGGCGGGCGGGGTTTTTGGCATTGTGGAATTTTGTTTACACAAAGGCGGCACGTTTGGAAATCGCCAAAAATCGAATGAGGCAAGTGGCGGAGGGAATAAATAAATATTATGAGTGAGTTTTTCGGGGCGAATGACACGATTTGTCAGCGGAGGCAAGCCCTGGTTGCTGTTGTTGTCAACAACTTTTGGCACTTGACACTTAATGTGCATCATTGCGCAGCTGACAATTTCAAGCCATTTCCGTGGTGCCAGCCAAGTCACTGCCACATCTTCTATTTCTCCTTCTGCCGCCGGAGTGAAGTAAAGTTTCCACTGTTCAAGTTTTGCATGGCCATATAAAAATCGAATAACAAATTGCTCACAAAAGCAACTGCAACTGCAACTCCAGCTCCAGATCCAGCGGATGGGGACATTTTCTGACATTTTTATGAGCAGCTGCAAAAGATTTCTGGCGTTCGTTAGATTTTTGCCCTGCACTTCCTCTATTCCAACTTGTTTTCCACTACCAAAATTTGTTGTGCGTGAAAAGTTCTCAAGATGAAGATAGAACTTTTCCATGTGACTGATGGTGAGCGTGATTTTCGGTTTTCCAAATGTCAGCCGCAGACTTCTGCACTCCGAACATCTGATTGACAAACATTTTGTGGCTGCACGAAAGGTGATTGTGAATGTGAATGTGAATGCGAGTGTGAGTGTGTAAATTCAATTGAACGGCTGCCCAGGGAAATTCAGTTACCTTTTTGGCCAACAGCTGTCGCTAATTTACAGCCAGGTAAAACTTTGCCACTGCCACCATATTGCCATATCGCTCGAGTGGGCCCGAACTTTCAATTAAGCCCGAAAGGACACACACAAGTTTCCACTTCTACGGCCGTCGCATATTTCAATAAGTTTTCAAACTCAGAAGCGACGCGCTAAAACAACATAATTCATACTTAACTCACCGAAACAGTTTCCCCGAAAAGCGCCGCCCAAAAGGAAAACTCTGCAAAATGGCCAAGGGCTAGCTGCAATGAAAAATGGCAGAGCGGGAAATAAAATTGCATTAGTGGTGCATACACAGAGAAAAATCAATTGATAAGAAATATGTTTTATAAGTCCATAATTACCACTTAAATAAAAAGCGACATTTGGTACTTTATGGATGTTTAATTTTATAAATATTACATTTTTTATCATGACCATGATATTATAGCATGATATGATATATAATGATGATATATTAAAATTGATCTTAAATTTAGGTAAAGGTATTTTAAAAATGTTGATCATATCTATGAATATCTATATAAAGTCCAATAACTATAAATTTCTTAAGACTTTGAAAATAAATTGATAGATCTTCTGTTCGAAATGAAGTCTATAAACTACTGATATTTTAAAAAGTTTTTCTCTGTAGATTTTATAGTGAATTTGAGTGTCCTTTTGAGTGTGCGTGTGCCGTAAGTTGAGAAAGATGTGGCTGGGCCTCCTCATAAAACGAAATTAAATTTATGTACAGTTGCAAAGTTGGTGGGGAAATGGCGGATGGGTGGGGCATAAAACTTTCAAAGGCAGTCGGGAAGTGGATCTAAACACGCGGCCAGCCCTTCCTGGCCGTAATTCAAAATTCGAGTGGCAGTCGCAGTTTGGGGCAGTACAGTAAGGCAACCGCCAAAGGCGCAGGATGCACGGCAGCACTGCATCCTGTTTTTTGTTGTGGGCGGGATCTGTTCACGCTTGTTTTCACTTGGCCGGCATTGTAGGCCTGTTCCCAGGCCCATTCCCATCCCCATCCGCATCCCATCCTGGCCCGAAAACTTGGCCATGTTGCCCGCGGGTGTTTGCGGTGGCTGGCTGCATTGCTGGCCACCTTTGCCTGTCAGCTGCCGCAGGCGAAAATCTGGCAGTTGCAGGAATCGCAACAGCAACATCAACTGCCAGAAACAATCTTTAAGGCACTGGCGAAAATGGTAATATTTTCAATGAGTTTTTACTTTAATAAAACATTTAGGGACTTTTCAGCTTGGCAAGAGACTATCAAAAAAGTATCTTTTATGCTATTAATATCATTTTGATTTTTGTTATGATAAGTAAGGCCTTCTAGTTTGTTGTATATAACAATTCTTGCCTTAAGCTATCCAAATACTATTTCTATAAACTCCTGTACTCCATTAATATAAGTAATAATTTAAATAATGTGCTTTTCCTTTGCTTTAATAAGTAAAACGCCATTTACAAATGCTAATATCAGTTTGTAATCAATTGTTATTCTCTGAGTGCAAGCATTTACTTCAAAGAAACTTTAAAAGCAAATAAAACCCTAAAAAACAGCCTCCCCCAAAAAGAAAATGTAAGTTTGCCTCACTGCAAATGCGTTTTTCGAATTAAGTTATTGAGTTGAAAACCCAAAGGAGGTGATTAAAGCCATAGACATTCGCCTGGAATGCCTTCAATCTCGATCTCTCTAATCCCGCCAAACAATTGGCAGCGTTCTCAGCAATTTTAATTGAATTTCCTGAATCAATGCAGCCCCAAGTCACTACGACCACCGGCCAACAAAAATTCTGCTCAACTTTAAAGAATTTACAGAGAAATAAAAAGTGTTCTTAGCACTTAAGATTGCATTCTTGCTTAGCCAAGGAAAACACACATTTAAATTCAAATAAATAGTTTGACAAACCTCCAATGAATATAGTTTGCTGTAAGCATTGAGAGTAAGTGCTCCAAGCTGACCATTATTTATTACAAATTGTATAAATTAAAAACAAATATTTATTATACAAAAGAGCAGGCTATTACAATATGAGAACCTACTCTAAATACATTTTGTAAACAAGATGTAGAAATGAAACATGGCTTGACTACTATGAAATGCTTATTAGAATTGTGTTTTAAACGAAAGTACTCCGAAAACACCAGTACTTGAAAGATAAGTTGTCTTTATTTTACGAAATATGTAAAATTGGGTATCGAAATGAACCCAGAATCACTGAAGATGCCATAACTGCGGGCAATTCGATGAAATACGGCCGGACAGTGGAAAATTCGGAAGGGATATGAACACGTTCGTTGGACATTGTATTGGATCCTCAAAAAAGAAGGACTCAAAGGAGTCTGAGTCCAGGACCAGTTCGTGTGTGTAATTGCCAAAGGAACGGACTGCGGAGCTGTCTGAATGGGAATTATTGATAAATTCCAATGCATGCCAGTTGACAAACATGTTGTTGTTATTGGGTTGGGTCCAGTAACCAACTCTCTCATCCAGGGACGTTTCAATTGTAATTACGTTTATTGCATTGCTTTGGCTTTCGGTTTCGACTTTTTCCTCTTGTTTTCCCCATTTGCCGTCTGTTGTTTGTATCATTGACTGGCTCTCGTCTGTGCCGGAAAGCACAAAAAATGAGTTTCGGTAGGCAATCTCGCAGATACATACTATATATAGATACGGATACACCCACACAGGGCCCTGAAATACGCACACGAACTGGCCCCATAGCATATTTTTGACATTTTGTGCATGCCTGTTCGCCAAAGTATGCAACGTTCCATAATCGAAGGCTGAGATTTCCAAGGCGAGTGTGTGTGAAAAGCGGAGGAAAAGCGTAGGAAAATGCTTGTAGGTGAATGGGTGGATGCACTGCAATCGCTGCCCAGCACAATCGAAGTGATTTGCCCCAGTGCAGGGCTTTGAATACTAAGTCAGATCCCTAAGTGAGTTGTAAAGAAATTTTATTTGGCCGCTTGAACCGCAATGACCCACACGCGTTTGCAATGGAAATAAAATTGGGGCGAGTCACTTGCATGACACTCCCATACACTGAAATTCCAAAAGGGGCAAAATTAAAAAAAAAATATATTTTTTAAAATTGTATATTCATATACTGCTAGGCACTTAAATGTTTTAAAATTCATCTTGTGTTTCTAGCTTTTAAGAGTACTTTATTACTTAATCCCAAAAATGAGAATACATTTTTAAAAATTTTAAAAATTTTCTCTGTGGTAATAAAATATTTAAGTTAAAAAAAAATAAAATAATTTTATGAATTTCCTTGAATTCTTGCGACTCTAATTTATTTTTTTTAGAAATATTTATAATTTCTTTCAGTGTTTTTGTGCCCACAATGGAAAAGGTATGCGTGCAGCTATCTTTTTCCTGCCGAAGGTCCTGGGAGCGAGCACCTTTTTGGCATGCAGGCCGCAAAACTATGCGAATGCGAATGTGAATGTCTGTGAGTCCGTCTGCCATGTGGCATGCAGCAACAGTTTCCAGGACTTTTGTGCGGGGGTCAAGAACTGGACTTGTCTAACTTCCGGACCAGCTGGGTCTCCGTAATCCTCGGCAATCCCTCTTGCCACGCACCCGGGATGAGATTGAATGTCTCTGCTGAAATGCGAGGTAGGCGGGGAATGCAGACGCTCTCAAACGCTTACTAGATACAAATATTTTCCGATTCTGTTTTTTTACGGGGCCGACATGAATATTCCATGGGACATTTTATGGCCTGGCCCACAGGTGCGTTCTGAGCAAATCAAAATGCTTTTAAAAATTTCATCTTTGGCTGGGCATAAAATTTTAACCTGGCCATATAATATATTTTGACAACTTGCTTGCGACAATATGCCAGACGACGGTGGAGAGCCATTTGTGGAATTGCATTTAAAAATCGTTTACTTTTGCATGAGTGCCCCCATTGAGGGACACGCCCCTTTTTTCAAGGGGGTTCAGTGGGCGGTGGGTGGTGGTTGGGGCAGGGTGGCCCAGGGTGTTTATGCTGCAATTTGTTGCGAACGCACGTAGCAACTGCACGGCAATGGCAATCCTTTTGGCCAACAACATTGTTTTTCTTCATTTTACTCAACTTATGAAAAATATATTCGTATACCGCACGCTCGCTTTTTATTTATATAGGTAGTCATATTAAATTTTGTAGGTAGACCAAAGAAAAGTTACATAAATTGTTGCAAAGTTGTATTTAAATGCAAGACTCACTAAATATTTAAACATTTTGAACCAATATTATATTTTTAAATATTATTTACTAAACATAATTTTGTATAAAGAAATCCTCCTTTCACATCCCCTATATCCCAGGACTTTTTACCAATGTTCTGGCATTTTTCGTATCACCATCTTGCCAGGTATCGTGTATTTCTGCGGGCTTTGCAACAATGCAGTGGAAATCGCTCTGGATGCAAACCTTAGCCCAAAAATCCTGGATCAAAGGAAACGCCAGTGAAACAAAGGCGTGTGGATAAGAAAAGAACCCTGGAAATGCTCGAATCTGTTTGTTTGTGTTTGTCAGCAAATTGTGTGTGAAGATGTCAACAAGCTAGTTAACTGCATTTGATCTGCACTTTGCCTGAAACACAAACACAAGACCCATCTCTCGGTGTGTGTGAATCTATTATTGCTCAAGCACATTTCGCTCCGCAGTTATGTTAGTTTTCCTTGGTTTTCACCATTTTTCCCTCGCTTTTTTGTTCGCCAACGCTCACGTCGCTTAATACTTGGCTTCATGGCGATAGTTTCCCTCGCTGGCTTTTTGTCTTTCGCCCGGGAAAATGTTGTCAAAATGACAGAACATTTTGCTGAAGTTTAAGTAGCATGAAGTACGAAAATGGGCGGGGGCCCCCACGCATGTGTGCGTTTTGTTTGGCAGGACTTGACACGCCCTGTCATTTCCACAGAATTTCCCGCCGCCCTCCCACAGCTTTTCCTCCCCAGCACGGCTTCTCCGTAGAAATTCGCTAGATTTCAAGCTGCTCTTGAATGAATGAACCATACTTGACTTGCCGCAGCACTTAATATTCCATTCAATTATCTGAACACATTTAAATCCAAAGTCGGTTTGAATTTATCGTCTAATTTGCGAAACAAACTCCTATATTTTCTGAATGCTCCTTAAATGATATTTGCCTCAATTAAAAGTCTGAAATGCCAGAGAAAATGCCTGCAATATTTATATCCATAAAATGAAATAGAAACGCACTCGACTTTTAAAAGTCAAATGGCTGTAAAGTGAGT